GGGATTGAAAAACCATGTTTGTTCTGTTTTTTTGGTTAATTGTTAATCTTTTACCTTCTTTAACATTTTTTCCTCAGACTCATTTATTATATATAGTCAATTGTTTATTCCCCCTCCCCCAAACAAAATGTAATGCAAAACAAAATTTGATTGGTACACAGTAGAATCCTAAGAGTTAAATTAACTCTACTCAGAGTGTATTTGGTCCCACTCTATATAGAGTTAAAACCAACTCTGAAGGAGAGTTATTTAAATAAGTCTATTTAAACTAAACAGTCTATTTTTGTCTGTTTTTACTCATTCTGGAGTGGACTTATTTTAGTTTGCATTTTCCATGCAGATTTGGAAAAACATGAAGAAAATAGATTATTAAATTACTCTTTCTCAGAGTCGGTTTAACTCTATATAGAGTGGGACCAAATATACTCTGAGTAGAGTTAATTTAACTCTTAGGATTTTACTGTGTAGTTTGACATGTCGACTGAACAACCTCGTGGGTTGGTCTTGGAAAAAGAAAAAAGCAGCAAATGGCATAGTTGGTCATCCTATAACCAGAAGGTTGGCAGTTTGATCCCCGCCAGATCCATACTGCAATTGTGACCTTGGGCGCGCCACTTCTGTGTGACAGGTGGGGTGTATTTGGTGGTGGGCAGGAGGTGCGAAATTGGCCCCTGGACAGCTGAGGTCTACCAAAGTAGCTTATCGGCACCAGAGGGTGAATGTGGAGTGAATGAATAATGCTCTGAAAAATTGCAAAGCTAAAGAATTCACGAGCACCAGTAAAATAAACAGTAAAAATGACTAGATTTGATCTTTAATTATAATCAAGATGCTCTATATTCAAAGCTAGCATAAGATGCCATTTGTTTGGTTGATTTGATTATTAACTTATTGTCTAGTCAGCTTGGTTTATGTCATATGTTTGTGGACTGTAGTTAATTTTACATTAGGAGTATGAGATTTGTAAAAGAAAAGGTAATTTACTTGAAAAGTGAAAAGTTTATGCCTATTTCCTGTCAGTAGTTTCTGTCAAATTAAGGTACTTTTGTAGACAATTGCAATCTCCCCTCCGTTACTATTGCTATATGTCCATGTCAGAGTGATTAGTATTCTTTTAAACTTCAATCCCCTTTGTACTTACACAAATGTGTATTTTTAAAGAAACCAATATCCAGCAACTGAACTTCTCTTTTTGGCATGATGCAATCACCTCATTATATTCAGAAGCTAATCTGCTGCAATGACACTTTTTGTGAACTTATGAGGGAGTGTTTCGCTGTGTTGTGCAGAATGGGAATACATGCTGACTTACTCCTCTGTAAACAGGAAGTGACCGTTTCCCCCAAGAGTTTGGAAATTGAGCCAAAGCTTCTAGAGTTGTGTTGAAAACATGCACTGACTTTGACTGACGTAATGGTCTAAACATCAGCTAATATTCATGAACTGCTTTTATCCAGAAATAGTTCAAATTTGTTGAGTAACTGAAGAGAAAAAGATCGAACTAAATCCATGAACAAAGCACTCCCAGGCAAACGTGCTGCATGGACCAACCTCTTTATCCCTGCACAGGAAATACAGGTTATAAATAAATCATTGAGTTCCTGCCTGGAGCACTGACCAGAGGGGAAGGGAGGAGGAGATAGCCTGTAACACAATACTCGATACACAAATGCACACCCACGCATAAAGTGCATTAGTGTGTTTGCTGGACCACTGATGATTACTCTTTTATTTTTCAAACTTCCAGGTATCTTGAAATGATGAATGTGTCAGTTGTTAGCGAATGGATGCTATAGGTGCTGTTATGGTTGAGTGGCTGTGATTGTGATAACATGTGTGTGTGGGTGGTGTGAAAGTGCAACCGTGAGGTTCGCTCAGATGCATTTTTGATAAAGAGATCTGTAATAAAGTAAGTTTGTAGGAAAGCATTTTTAGCGCTTTTTATCAAGTTGATTCCATGTCTCAAAGATGTTGAGTTAGCTTAGTATTGAAGAATAATTATCCATCAATACTACCTTTTTTAATGAATAAATAATGACCTTTATTGTACCTGATGTGTTTGGAACCAACCTGAAACAAAACCAAAAAAGTAGAGTAACTAATAAATTTTCCAACCCGCTTATTCCCTTTTCAGGGTCACAGGGGTGAAAGAAAGTGTCTGAAGGTGACTTTAAATAAAGAATTGCATGCTACATTGTAGAAGAGATGCAAACTGTAGAATCTCCGCCATAAACATAATAGCTGTGCCTGGCAGTACTTCTCAATCGACGAAGGATTAATTAAATTATTTAGTTACTGAGAAGTATTTATTTAAATCACTTTGTCGAGTAATTAAGTTACTTTTTAGTTACAATATAAAATTTTAAATTAATCAAGTTTAAGATAAATGTATTAGACTTTTTACACTGCTACTGTCCCAGGTATTGGCTGAAAAAATAACATAAAAAAGAATAAAAATATTCTATTCTAGGTTTTCAAGCTGTCTCAATTAGACATAATTTAGTCATAATAAGATTTTCTTAATGTGGACTTATTGTGAAATAATAATGTTTCACAAAAAAAAGTTTGTAGTCCATAAATTTAACAGATTGGTTAAATTTTTTTACAGATTGGTTGCAAAATATTACATATTTTTATACAAATGCAACATTAAAATTTTACCATTATGTTACCTTAATAAAACAGTGAGGAAATAAAGCATTGTCAGAAACTAAAGCAGTGAGCAAAGACTTTGGCTTCTTCCCTGATGGCTGTAAAACTAAACTGCAGGCTGCGGGTTTGTGTTGGTAAAGCCATGTGTTCACTTCTCATCCTGAGTCTAACAAAAATGACCTGTACAAATGAGTGTGCATGCAAATGGAAGATTTGAATTTGGCCTGGGTTGAGCCTTAGGAATGAGGTCAGTAGGCAAAGAAGATTTAGTTGAACACATTTAATGAAAGTCGTCACTATAGAAGCAGGTGAAATATATTTTCGACTCCTTTGGAAACAGTCTAGAGAATTTAGCACCAGTTAAACCAGGATTTACGGTAATTCACAGGTAAATGAAATATTTAGATATGTATTTCCTTTTACAAAACTTCCTGCTGTACATATTAACTTCAAGATAAACCAGTTTCCTCGTGGAGCTTCTGCATTTGCTCTGCTACAACAATGCAATGCTTGTGTAATTTTATGGCATCCTTTTTTGCATTTTTTTTTTCTTCAAATTCACTACCTAGCTAAAATTAAATGACCTTTTTAAAATCCTTTTTGAGAGGGTCTCTTGAACGGAATATAAGGGGTGCATGTGACAGGCCAGACATCTGAACTTGATCATGCATGTATGAATGTCTCAATGTGTCTCGGTAAGCTTGGGTGGAATAAACCGTGCCATATGGTGAGTGTGTCACGTCCGGAGTTTGTGTGTGTGTTCAGAGACTCTTGGCTGAAGCAAACATAAACATGATTTTCTCTATTCATTCTCACTGTACGCATGTGCATATATCTAATGTTTTGGGGGCAATTCTGCCTTTACCAGATGACCACATGCATATGGCCGAGCATCATAGGCCTCCCCATCCCAGCATGCCCTGTGACTCGTAGCCCTAAGGGTTATTTGGCTTGATGACCATTTTCTCTCTGTGTCCAACTAAATATAGATTGAGTGTTGTAGTAGTACCAACATGCTCAAACAGGGGTTTTATGCTGCAGTTCTTCTATACATTTAATAACTTTAATATAGCTAATACATAAAGATTCCATTCTAATATTGATCAGAAACATATATACAATGGATGAGTCAGAGTTAGATAGGCAAATGCATTTAAGATACTAAACATTGTATTATTTTTTTTGTAGTTAATTTTAAAGAATCAATCATATTCTAAACAGATAGAACCGTTTTGATGACAGGAAGAGAAGCGTGTAGAGAGAGAGTGAGGGGGAGGTTGAGAAATGTGCACCGTCCATTATACCATGGGGCCTACTTTTGAATTGAAAGTGTATTATTTTCTGCATATTCCCATAATAAATATTTGTTGTTTTATGTCAGGACTTCTGATTCAAAAGAAGGATTTTTTTTTCCTTTCTGTTGTTAAAGGAAGAATGAAATTTTGAGCTGCATGATTATTAATCTAAATTTTAGAAGTGGTCTTGGACTCGGTCTTCACAGTCGATCTCAATCTTCACTTCTTTTAAGCCGTTCCAAATCAACATCTACTCACACGAGTAATCACGGGACTGACGTCTAATCAAATCAAGGAAATGTAATTTGAATAATGAACATAATAGCAACTAGAGTGCTAAATTATGTGCACAAACTTTTATGTTGGACTGTATAAGTGCAATTTAAAATGCATTTTTATTAGCAAATAGGAATGGTTGCCCAAGTACAAATCTTGCTTGCTTTAAAAAGAGTCAATGATGGCATACTAAGTTTCCCTTGCCAATATGAGTAACATAAATCCCTAAATCTCTATGATTTTCCTTAGCATGGAAAGTTTCCACATTAGTTGCAAGGGTAAAACAGCCAGGTTGCTATGGAAGGGGGATAATATAATATTCCCTTTGTCACTGTAGGTTATATAAACCGACCCTAATGTCTTTCATTCACCAAAGCCGAGAATTAGGTTGCTAGGGTAAGGTTTGGCTGCTATGGAGTTGTCTGTGATGTTATAAAAATGTAATTTGTTATTATGATTCGCATAAAAAAAACATTTCTCTGTGATATTTCATCTTGAAGATATTTTTAATGTCAATGGACATTTTAACCCTTTCTAGAACATGGGGTTCAAATAGTTTTGCACAGTGGTTGGTATATTCTTGCACAAACTGATGGCCTTATGTGTGGTCTTTGAAGTTTCTATGAGCTTCTCAGTTTAGTTTTGTTTTACAAAATTTGACCCCATGTTAAGTCAGTGGGAAATTTCCCACAGCTCTCAGTGATGTCCTAGAATTCCTTCAGAGGTACCAGCCTTAAAAGATATAGAAACGTCAGACCAGTCTGGATATCTTGGCAATGTTTGGCTCAGTCAGTAGAGTATTGCGCTAGCAACGCTAAGGTCATGGGTTCAGACCCCAGGGAGCAAGAACGGGCAGAAATGTTTTTGGATGAAAACGTAAATGTTTCGATTGTTTTTGTTGCTATGCAGGGCCTGTATGACACGATATTTCAGTGCTATTGTGGTTGGAATTAATCTTTTAAAGGCATTGTTAAGCCCTTGTACCTTATACATTGTCAGATATGTGAAGCGAGAACATCAAAGGCTTCCTGCCCTTTGAAAAATCTGCATAATTTCCACATCTCTAATGTGACTTCCCTCTTCTGCATTCTCTTATGGGTTTCTGGTGAAGTCTTTGGTACATCTGTACCATCATAGTCAAATGTGACTCTGGTTGGTTCGCTATTTCAGTATGTGAATCACCTTTTCGAAACTGAGCTAGTGGGTCATGTGAGATTGAATACATTGGTTGCTCGTGACAAGCCGAAACATGTGATGTAAATTATTTTGATTTGTTAAAGATTTGTTTGAATCTAAGGCTGGGATTTCATTCTGACTTGCTCTGCAACAGCCCATTTCTCCTGAGGGTTGGATATACTGGGTGATTTTTAGAGCTTTTATAAAAAGATACTAATTAGATTTTTGAGTTAATTTAATCAGCTCTGGAAAAAAAGCCTTTGAGATGTCGACAGACATGTGGAAATGACATAGTGGGTTTTGCTTGACCTAAGATTGGATTAAGTGTGAAATACGAGCAGAGAAAATGATATGCTACCTACACGAACATTATGTGCAATTAACCCTGCTAGAAACCTACTTCTGCTAACTGTGAATGTGTGTTTGTGCGTGTGTGTGTGTGTGTGTGCACAGATATGAAGGCCTGTGATGCGAAATTATACCATAGGTGTCAAATTGCTTTTAATTAAACCTTTGAGCTTTGTATGATGAAGACGCGAGAATAAAAGAGAAGTTGAGACACAGAGAGTTGGCGAGCGTTTCATGATCTGAGAGACTGCAACGTTTCCTTTTTCCATTAGAAATGTAGAAACCAAATTTAAGTAATACTTTTTTAGTTAATTTATAAGGCAGACATGGAAAATGAGTCAGATTTGGTCATCTTTCACATAGTGGTGATGCATTTCTCCTTACACCTTCTGAACATTCCACACTGGATAAAAAGTTTCTTGACATATTTTTTTACAAAAAAAAAAAGTCTGGAAAATTGAGTAGAATTTTTTATGTACTGATATAATCAATGATTTTGTGACCAGTTCAGCAACTGAGCTGATCACTCCCATCTCTCTTTCTGTCTATTCTCTTGCAGACTAAAAGCTCTGGTTTCAACTGGGGGCAGAAATGTACAAGCGGCTTGTGATTGGTAAGTTTTCCACCATCAACTGAACCATAATAAGAAAACCTTTAAGTTTTTAAATGGGTTGTTTAAAAATGTATTGATCTTTTGAATACATATGTGCTGATATGTTTTCTAGCTCTGCTGGTTCAATGCTGCCCTCTGCTGGCTGGGAGTCATAGTTATATCATGCAGCTAGCAAATAATACCAAATTCACCAAACTTGTATACATTTTGAAAATGCACATAAAAAAATTATGCGCACAACTGCGTAGTAGGATAAACTTTTTATCGAATAAAGAGCAATGCAATGGCAACACAGTGCTGTATTGTACAAGCAAAAAAGTGAAAAGCTGTGCAAAAATAGAATGTTTAAAAAAAAAAAGACTTAAAAAGCGATTAGGAGGCAGCAGCTCCCATGGCAGGTGGCAGATTGTCTGAGAGTCGAGGGGTAGCCCCTAAAAAGGCACAATCTCTTTGACGTTTAAGTTTCTGGAATCCACCAGGTCTCCATGGTCTGATAATCGCAAAGATCATTTCGCTCGTTTCGGTTTATACTCTGAACGGAGCTCTGAGATGTAGTTCGGTGCCTGACCATTTAAAAAAAGTGTAAAACCAATCTTTAAAAATCAATCTAGTGTATGATGTCCAAACTAGGATCAGTGCTTTCCTGGTCTGGTTTGATTCATTGCAATTCATTGTATCTTGTAGTGGTTCCTGGCATTACCAACAATAGTACAGAAATGCTGCTACCAAGCCATCATGCCAGCTATTCTCTTTAGTCTTCATATCTCCTTCAAGATTCATTTTAAGATTCCTTTGTTGGTCTTAAAAGCTTTTTAAAAGTTTGTCCCTAATTTTATGGATGAAAATCTTCCAGAACCTCTATAGCTTTTGGGATCTCAGACAACTAGACTGTGTGTAGGGGAGATAGCACTTTCTCGAGGCTGCTCCTCTCTCAATGAATGTTCTCCTAGTTGTGATGAATAGTCTCCAATATCAGTTTTTTTTTTAATCTAGACTTAATAAAGACTTTTAATTCACCAATTTTGTTTGTGAATCTCTGGGTTATCCCTGGGTTGAGTTCCATTTCTCCTATCTGCTCCTACTCCTTAGCCCACGAAACCAAGGGCTAACCAAGGACTTCGAATATACCCCCACGAATCAGGACACCCCCTGACACATCTGTAAAGGATTCTGAAGAAACAGCAGATGCAGCACTCCTGCTTGTTTTTATTTCTTTATAAATGTAAACATAATAAAGCCGAAATGTTACGTGCCAATCATGAGTGTATTGTGCAATGTTAATGTTATTAGGCCAAATAATGAAGTGAAGTGAAAGTGAAGTGAAAGTGACGTTACGGCCAAGTATGGAGTGACCCATACAAGAAATTTGTGCTCTGCATTTAACCCATCCAAGTGCACACACACAGCAGTGAATAAACACACCGTGAACACACACCGGGAGCAGTGGGCAGCCATGGCTGCGGCGCCCGGGGAGCTGTGGGTAACTGGTGACTTGCTCAAGGTCACCACAGTCATGGTTGTCTCAGAAGGGAGAGAGTTTCAACACTCATCCCATCTTCGACTCCTAGTGGAGCTGGGGATCGAACCAGCAACCTTTTGATCTCCAGTCAACCACCCTATCCACTAGGCCACGACTGCCTAATGGTGCATCACGTGTGGCAAAATGGAATAATGGTGCATCATTCCATTTTAGTAATATTTGTGATTTAAATTACTTGGTCCAGCTTTACCCTATTGTTCAAAATTGCTTTGGGAAACCCTTTCGGCTCATGTGCAAAATTAAGGTGATGGGCTTTATGCATTTTTGTTTGGATGTTTTATGATTTAATCAACACGTGTTTCCTCAATTTTGGTGCAGCTCTGCCTGGTGGAAAGCTCTATACAAATAAATTACTTTTTATTTACTAAACTTATGAACTGTGTTGTGGGCAGGTTGTTTTCTCATGTGGACGACCCCTTTCTGGATGATCCTTTACCCAGGGAGTATGTGCTGTATCTGAAACCCAGCGGGCCTCTCCTAAACCAGCTGTCTAACTTCTGGCAGCAGAGTCGCATCACGTGTGGCAAAAACAAAGCCCACAACATCTTTCCTCACATCACCCTCTGCCAGTTCTTCATGGTTCGAGTATTTCCTCAACATATTTAGCTCGATGTCTAATAAATGCCATTTATTTTCTTGACACCACACAAAGTCAGACAGCAGTTATTCACTTTAGCTTTAGTGTTATCCCTAAAGATGAAATGATATTTTTTGACATTTTCAACAACAGTAATGTTGTGGGATACAAGAAATGTTGACAAACGCTCTTAACAAACCATTTTTATCAGTTTCCATGTATAAGAATCTGCAAAACCACAGCTGGCCTCTAAAGACTTTCACCCACATGGTGTGTAGAGCAAAAGTCGCGCCGATGTAATGGAACTTTTGAAAGTACAGAAAATGAAAACCAACAGTAATTTTCTGAGCATTGATTGGAATGTGGAATGTGCACATTCTTTGGTAGTGGCATCTTTAGAGAATATATAGGATGGGTTAGGGTTAGTGTAACAAATCTGCTTCTTTTGCATTTTAACACTTATAACCCAAAATATCAAAATTCTGCAACGTAATACATTTTTGAATGTAATTTTAAAGTAATCACTTCATGCTTTTGGCCTTGGTCCTAACTTTATTTTTCTAGTATCGACAGTCTGGTCTCAAGCAGGCCTTAAACTTGATTTAACAGTTTATGATATACTTCTAATCATAATAGTTATAAAATGTTATAAGATTGTCACATTCTCCATTGGTTTTATTCATATTTTGGACAACTCTGGATTAACCCAATTATAACCATTTCAAGCAAATGTGATCATTCAGTGCATTGTGTCATATATCATTTTAAAGATTTTAAATGTATATTACTAAACATTGAGCTCCATCTGTTTTTACATTTATCTCTATATTTTTCTTAATAGTGTGCAGATAGTAAGGTGGATGCTCTTGGCGAAGCTCTGCAGGAAGTAGTGAGTAAATGGAGAGGTCGTTTCCCCTCTCCACTTCCACTGGAGTTCTACTCATCCTCGAACTTCATCGGCCTCTTTGTAGAGGAGAAGGTGGCTGAGGTGATCAAGAGCTTTGCTGCAGATTTTGCCTCCGAAGCTGCTTCCAAAGCAGGTCTGTAGTTTTTAAAAAAAATTTTTAGTTGCTTGCTTACTGATTGAATGACTACAATGTAATCAGGCGACATTTACTTCTAACCTAAATGGGTTGTACATGTCTAATTATTGTACAGTAAAATCTTTGTTTTCCTGTAGATGCTCATGTGGAGCCTCATAAGAAGCAGCTCCATGTCACTCTCGCCTACCACTTCCAAACCAATCATCATGCATCTTTAGAAAAACTTGCCAAAGGTGTTGATATAACCCTGGGCTGTGACTGGCAGACTGTGCTCTTGTCCCGTGACATTCGATTTGCTAACCATGAGGTAGGTCACCTCTATGTAATTTAAAATTATTATTTAAAATAAAATGAGAGGTGGGGGTACACCCTGGACAGGTCGCCAGTCCATTGCAGGGCAACACACACATTCACACCCAAGGGGAATTTAGATTATTCAATGTGGGAGAAACCTTAGTACCCAGAGGAAACCCACACAAGCACAGGAAGAACATTCAAACTCCTTCCAGAAAGGTCATCGGCGAGCCAACTGGAAGGCCACAGTGCTAC